TATACAGTCAATGATATTTTGCTGTGCTGTTCTAGGGTAAAAATTTGTTTTATTAGAACCATATAACTGGGTCTCTCAGTTTATAAGAAGCACATGTGTTAGTAAATGAGGCACTAGGATATTTCAGATACATATGAGATATAAGATATAAGGATGATGAGAGCGTTTGTTTTGTCACCTTTGTGGAGTTGAAAGAATGTTAGAAGTCAGAGAGTGAGGTGATATGAGGAAAGTTTAAGGTGATGGTTAGAAAGGAATGTATGCAACCTAGAAACTCAGCACACCTGAGTAGTATGTATGCCTGCAATTTCTACTACGACTATGGTGGCAAATAAAAGTGACCTGAAGATACCCACATTACATTCATTGTCTTGTCTATTGCCATTGCAGAACATAAGGAAAACCTAGAGAGAGCAGATGAAAGCATCGATAACAAAGTGTCTAAACTACTTTATATTACTCCACCTTTCTACGCTCATTCAATACAGGTTCTCCTCTTACCACTGGTACCATTGTTATCACATATTAGGTTCTAATTATATCACCTTCGTCTTCTGTATTCTTAACACCCACATTAAAACATTCAGTGTTTTCTGATTATTCTTCTAACAAAACTTTCTTTAATACTATATCTTTTCCAATGGTTTAGACACTTTCACCTCACCCTTAAACTATTAAAAAGTACCTCTTTATTGGTCTCACTCCATCTTATATCCTGCTTACAAGTAATTCTCAAAAAGCATTCCTAGGTCAGTCTCCCAAACTGTTCAGGTTAAAACCTGCTTTGGTACATCAAGAAGCATGGAAAGATACAGGGTCACACTGAAGTCTGAGGCGTGGATTACTGTCCATTTTGCAGCACTACTTATGTAGTTATAGAATGAAGATAACTAAATCATTTTAGACTAAATTACACTACCAAAGACCACTGCTCTAAGAACTAAGTAGTCATGACAAAGCTGGATTGAGGGATACAAAGACAAAGCAGAATGCTGTATTTAGAAATGATATTACTCTTAAGGTAAACTCTTCCTAAAATAATTTTTATTAAGAAAAATTTTGCCCTAACCAGTTTGGCTCAGTGGGTAGAGCGTCAGCCTGAAGACTGAAGTGTCCCCAGTTTGATTTGGTCAAGGTTAAGGGCACTTGTCATATATATATATTTAAATTATTTTACTTGATTTCTCTGAAATCAGTTAAAGTTATACCCTCAGTGAAATAAGATTACAAGACATATGAGATTCTATCCTTTCTTGTACCACACCACCTAGGAAATTTCTTCATTTTATTGTTTAAACTAGTGGCCCAGTGCACGAGTTCATGCATATTGAAATTAATTAGAAGAAATATTTTATATATATATTTAAATTATTTTACTTGATTTCTCTGAAATCAGTTAAAGTTATACCCTCAGTGAAATAAGATTACAAGACATATGAGATTCTATCCTTTCTTGTACCACACCACCTAGGAAATTTCTTCATTTTATTGTTTAAACTAGTGGCCCAGTGCACGAGTTCATGCATATTGAAATTAATTAGAAGAAATATTTTAATAATCGCTATTCGCCCTTTATCTATAATAGAAGTGTCAACCAAATTCACAATTGACAATAACAGATTGAAAACATGTGTGCAATTGGCACCGGCGAGAGCTTTATATGTATCACGCATGTGTGAGTCAACTTAGGCTTTTATAGATATGGAATAAACTTGCTTAATTAGACCTGCTTTCTGATTATCTAAACTTTTTCCAGCCCAGTGAAGCATCCCAATTTCTCTTTCATTTTCTCTTAAATTTATCTTGTTGAAAGTATTACATATGTCCCTTTGTTTTCCCCATTGACTCCCTCCACTCCGTCCCTGCCCCAACCCCATGCCTTCACCAGACCATTGTCTGTATCCATGGGTCTGAATGGCTTTCTTGGCAGGGAGACTCAGAAACTAAGGGTGAGCCCTCAGTTTCATGAAGTTTATCTCCCATCCTCTGACCCATGTGTCTTACTAGGATACGTAGTGTATTTTCTGCTTCCTGCTCACAAGTCAGATCATCATGTCATCACTGTCCAGTGTTCTGTCCTTCAAGATGATCAAGATACTTGAATGTTCAACTGTGACAGAGAGACAGCAATTCCCTGAGGCAGAGAGTATATGTGAACTTCTGTTCTTACCATATGAATAAAAAACAAATGATCCCTTTTAATCACGAGAATTGGAAAAATTTATATTTTCTGAAAGATCAACAGTCCTATAAGAAGCACCAAAGCCTATGTTACAGAAGACCAGAGAAAAACCAAGCCACGCTTAGAGAAAGGGAGTTACATTATAATTCTGCGCAGGCCCAGAGAAAAATGTGTCTTTCAAATTCTGTGCCCCCCCTCCCCAACATAGAAAAAACTTTCTCTATTTATACTTTTTCCAGTCCTTTGTCTCCCAAATTTGGAATGAGACTTCTGGGCCTTCTGAGAACGAAGGCCTGTGTGCTGGGAAGGGGCCATGAGACCATATCTCAAGGCCTGGCCTGGTGCCAGCACTGACAACTCTGTCTGGGGCATAGTTTATGGCCTCTCTGGAATGGGAGTAGTCTTATTTTCCTAATTATTTAAGCAAGCAAGCGTTTACAGAAGCCAAAATAGCAGGGTTAAAATTTCAAACAGCAGTTTTTATATAAGATGGATGTGTCACCTGTGTTAATCTACTGTCATGTAACCAAGTGGTAGCACTAATAGCATTTTCTGTGGCAGATAGTGTAATACTGCAGCTGTGATTGGGACTGCCATTTGGTAAACTTGTAGTAATATATACACCTACCAAGATTCATTTCATTTTTGCAGGATACTAGTAAATATAAGTGAATTGCATGGAAATATTTAAACCATCACCCCTCCTTTAAGTGTTTGACAGTGGTATTAATCTCAGCAGTTCTTTCTATAATACAGGATGGGGCCAAGTAGGTTTACAATTGTTCCTATGGAAAATAATACAATAAATAATAATAATACAAGAATAAACTGTGTTCCCCATACTCACAGCTGTAAACCTACTTTTACTTCTGATTTAAAATTTTCCTCAGGGAAGGAGTGTGGTTTTCAGGGCTTCCACTTGAGTGATGTCCTACTGGCTCTGATTCCACAGGACACATGTACAGATTCTCCCGGCTGCTGAGTATTTTCTCTCTTAATCATGCACATGAGGACCAAAGAAATAACCACAGGTCAGGTCCAAAGATACTTGTAAATACTGTTAAACTCCATAAGCTCCCATTTAACTAGAACCATGGTAGTGTTTCAGATTCCATGGCATCAGTGTCAGCCCAGACCTTCTAACAGTCCTAGAAATGTCTGGATTTTCCAATTCCTCCATGTTGAATTACCCTGGAAATGGTTCCATTTTCTTTAGGAAAGTGCGGGAAATTTAGTGTATAAATTGCATGTGGCACTGCAGGCTTCTTTCTCAAAAGAACCATGTGCTTCAATCAATGAGTTCTGAATTTGAGAAGTGACTTGGATCTGGAAGTTGGGTGAGGAGCCAACAACTTCCCATTATAAGAGCTGATGTGAGCCTTCCACCTATCATCTTTTTTTTTCATTTCTCTCCCTTTGCCTATCTATCTCATGTCTAAGAACAACATGACCTATTAGCTATTATCACAAATATCTGAAGGTCAAGGCAACTTGATGGAAAGCTGGCAATTATATCTATCTTACCTCTAGTGATTAAGTGCTATGCCCTAGCCTCATTCACATCAATATTAAAGAGTCCAGTTTGATAGCAACAATTGACACCATAAACCACAGCTTGTGAAATGCAGCCACCACCAGCCAAGCTTCTGAGAGATGTTGGCGCCCACTCAGCAGAGCATTTCTTATAAGAGTGTCTTCTGGGCCCACACAGGGATCTTAATTTATGCATTAAAGAAATTGATACATTGAATAGGAAGTAGTAGCAGAAACCTGGGAAGCAAATGTGCAAGTAGAGATTCAGTTATTCCACAAGGGGTGGAACATAAGGCTGGATATAGGAAAATTTATTGAAGCACTCACACAAATCTCACAATTTGATGATCTGGCAATGACAATGAAGTCTATCAAAGGAGATGGATGCTCAAGTCTTACGTGGTAAATTTATTCTAACATTCCCATCTCCCTGAATCTTCTGGAGACTTCCACACCACCATACAAGGAAGTTCCAGACTTTCTTCATATTTTCTATATTCAAGCTTTAAGGATCTAGTGTAGGAAAATGTTTTAGGATCTCTTATATAATTACTAGTGGCCCGATGCACAAAATTCGTGCACAGGGGAAGGGTGTCCCTCAGCCTGGCTTGCACCCTCTCCAATCTGGGACCCCTCAGGAGATGTCTGACTGCTGGTTGGACATCCCTCTTGCAATCTGGGACCACTGGCTCCTAACCACTCACCTGCCTGCTTGCCTGACCACCCCTAACCACTCTGCCTGTCATCCTGATTGCCCCCAACTGACCCTCCTTCTGGTATGATCACCCCTAACTACCCCCCTGCTGGCCTGTTAGCCCCCAACGCTAGCCTGCTTGCCCCCCTAGATCACCAACTTACACCATACACAAAAATAAACTCAAAATGTATAAAGGACTCACCCCCAACTGCGCCCCCCCTCGCTGGCCTGCTCACCCCCAACTGCCCTCCCCTGCTGGCCTGTTGCCCCTAACTGCCTCTGCCTCATCCCCATCACCATGGCTTTGTTTGGAAGGACATCCAGAAGGTCTCCTGGTCTAATGAGCATATTACTTTTATTAGTACAGATTATATAATTTATATGTGATATATTATATACTTAGGATATATTTAATGGGATATATTAGGATCTATTGCCTAAGGAAGTGGAACTTGGATGAAGAGATTTAAGTAATGGGTTGAAGATAACTAGCATTGAGTACCCCAGGAAATATAGGTACATATACACACACATATGCACATACACACAGACAAACATACTCACACCAAGAAATTAACAGGATTCATCTGCAGATTTGAAAGTTGAAATGTATTTAATAGTTTGGTAACTAAAAGACTGTGAAAGATCAATTCAAAACCACAATGAATTAAAGAACTATAATTTTTTGGAGATTTGATTGTGTTAGGTATCATGAGTCTCTCAGATTAAGCCTTGAACATGAATACTTTTATCAATTTTATTCATATTGTGTGAATTGTGACATACTTAGTTACATGAAGTAGAAGCCCATCTCTGTCGCTTAAACTCCCAACAGCATTTGATTTTCCTCACGTAAGAAGAAGTGTGAAGGAAGGGAGTCTAGGTCCTGTCTGTCCTTTGGCTCCATCATGATCACAGTGAAGTTTTATCTTCATGCTTGCTGAATCACAGAGGCAAGATGCATCTCCCTTTTCCGTTGTGCTAGAGGCTAGGAAAACAGAAAGGTACAAAAAGAGTGTCTGTATTAGATAAACAAAAATATTCCCAGAAGTCTCTAGCAGATCCATGCCTTTATCACATTGCCTAAACTTTTGTTACATGGTCATTCCTGACTGAAACAGGGTCTGAGAAGGTGAGTATCTTATCTGGGATCATGGCCAATCTGAAGAAAAAGGAGATAGTGGAGTACAACAGCTCCGGTAGGAGATTAGGGGTGTCTAATGATGCATGGAATTAAAACCAGTATTTTTAAGCAAATTTTCAGAGTAATGCTGAGTATCAATAACTATTTATTATAATATTCTTGAGGGCTTTATTTTTTCAGTCATTTGTTAATAATGAAATAATATACATAAATATTTTGTATATTCATCCTACATTATACTAGTGAGAATGAGATCATTATAGGCCATTAATGGCTTTTGTTTACTAAAATATTTACTATTTACGTGTGTGTGTGTGTGTGTACACACACACACACACACACACACATATATATATATATATACACATACACGGTGGCTTTAGGGTGCATGTTATGACCAATACTAAATTCTAAATCACAAGACCTAAAATATGGTAATTTTTATTATCTATTTCAAATAACATTTCCTTAATGCCCACATACTGATAGAATACTATGTCCTCAATGAGTTCTTTAAGCTAAATGTGGAACACTTATTTATAAGAAACTCTCTTGTGCTTTTTAATCTTTGATAGACTTAATATCTAAAACTCAATATTTGACAAATCACTTTTTAAGATATTAAAAGTGTTACCCCTTTAAAAATAAAAATTTTTCTGCACTTATAAAAATATTTCTTAATTGCATTCTATCTCCCACTAAACTGTAAATCTTATGTCTTCTACATTCCTCAAAAACAGTGAATGCTGATAATCAAGATGGACAGATTTTTCAAGGACATTTAGGTGGTAGGGGAGGAAAAGAGAGTAAAGCTAGGATATCTGTCCTAAAGTTCTGTCTAAGCGGTAATCAAAGGTAAACATAATACCTTTTTGTGAATGCAAATCTAATATTAATTCATATCTAAATTAATATATTACAGATTTATATCTAATTTCAAATCCTCTGTGAACTCAATTAGAATTCATTCTGCCTCATCCTACACATATTATTGGATACATTTTTTCAAATCTAATTCTGGTCCTGTTGATTTGAGTTGATTTGTGTTTTATAAACAGTCACATGCAAGTATGATAGAGTGTCAAACATATCACATGACATATGGGGTTTAGATAAAATATGACTTTATCAATTATGAAAAACACATTTAGAATCTTACATATAAGCATTTTACCCTTATCTTCTTATCACTATAGAATTTAGAAAGAATATATAGAAATAAAATTGAGAGAATAACCACATAAGAAATTTTTAAAAATCAAGAAAACTGAAAAATGTGTTCCATTGATACATGCACATATATAGATAAATGTATATTTTTAGTACATTATATATAGACATATGATACTGTGAAGGAAACCAATTGACAAAATTAAATCATTAAGTAACTTTTTTTTCCTCATAGCGTTCCTTATAATATGCTCTATAGGGTAATTCTTTTCCTTCCCCTAGATAACATTGTGGTTGGTCCCTAAAGCTCTCTTAAATAATAAATTCTCCTGGTACTCTTGTCACTTAAAACTATTCACTTCTGAAACTGATAGGTGTAGCTAAAGCAATAATAAAAACTTCAAGCTTCATTCAAAATTAAAGCTTCTGCACTCAGCTAATCAGCTATGCAACAGAAGGCAGGCTTGCAGTATAAAGTATGGCTTGGATAGATACTCTTCTACTTTCCCAACTTGTCTTTCTACCTCTTCACAATTGTTAACTTGCACTGTTTCTGACGGTTCTAGGGTTCAAGAGGGTGAAGGGAGGAGAGGTGAGGGCACAGGAACGCTGCTGCAAGGCTTATATTTCTGAGCTGCCATCACTGCTCTCTGGGTTGGCAGGTGTCACAGCTGACCCTTCTCTTTTTCCCTGCCAGGGGGTTTCAGTTCCTTGGAGGGCTCTTCAGACCATTTACTCACCTCCCCACTCATTGGTAGGCATCTCTCTCCTGCACTTCACTGGGATTTGGGTCTCAGGAGTCCATATCTTCACAGACTCTCTCTGTTGGGGTCCGACTGCCTTTAGGCAGCCCTTTCGAATAAAGTCATTTAAGATGACTCCAGGTTAGCTTTCAGCCACATATGTGTGGTTCACACCTTCCCCACGTATCTTTGGTTCATTTTCAGATAGGAATTGTTACTTAAAAAATATTTCTATGCTGTTGTCACAACTTATACTTTTCAATGTATGCAGATCTGTTTTAATTAATTAAATTAAAATGAAGTTTAAAGCATCACTGAGTCACAGTTAGTTTGAAATCATGAATGCTGACCACTAAAAAAAACTATGATGTGTGGTGAACACATCTACTGATTGGTAGAATATTGCAGATTGTTAAGATGGGCCAACATCCTTCTCTTTCAGAAGAAAACACAAAGAATCAATTGAGCAAGTTGTCACTGAACAGGGGCAGAGCAGAGCAAAGCCTTACATGATCTAGTGTCAAACATATGTGGGTTTGAGTTCAATCTCCACAATGTATTAATCACACAAAGTTGACTGAGTTTAACAAGGCAGCAATGTCAGTTTCTTCTTCTATAAAATGGGAATAATAGCTCTAGCAATTACATTGTTAAGATGATTAAATAAAAATATAATACATATAGTGTTTATCACATTGTAGCTCCTTAATAATTGTTAATCTTGCCTTCTAACACTGGTCAACTCATTGTTCCTTTTTTTTTCTTCATTTGGAAACATGTTATTTTTTTTGTCTAAAGTTTTACATGTCTCCTTCTCCTCCCCGCCCCGCCATTGACCACCTCCCCCTCCC